CTAGTACATTGGGCTGAATCTAAAGTCTCAATCCAGTCTTAAACCTTAATGGTATACATGTAGGCTGTGTCTACACTGGCACCCTTTTCCGTAAAAAGGATGCTAATGAGACACTTCAGAATTGCAAATGCCGCGGGGGATTTAATATCCCCCGTGGTATTTGCATGAACATGGCTGCCGCTTTTTTCCGGCTCGGGGCTTTGCCGGAGAAAAGCACCAGTCTAGATGGGATCTTGCAGAAAATAAGCCCTTTTCCGGAAGATCCCTTATTTCTACTTGAAATATTCCTTGAAAGTAGTAATAAGGGATCTTCCGGAAAAGGGCTTATTTTCTGCAAGATCCCATCTAGACTGGTGCTTTTCTCCGGCAAAGCCCCGAGCCGGAAAAAAGCGGCAGCCATGTTCATGCAAATACCACGGGGGATATTAAATCCCCCGCGGCATTTGCAATTCTGAAGTGTCTCATTAGCATCCTTTTTACGGAAAAGGGTGCCAGTGTAGACACAGCCTACATGTATACCATAAGATCAATTCATTGAGAGCCCACAAGAGGGGTAGGGAAACAGCCAGTGAACAGAGGGGTTTACATTGCATAGTTAATGCCACAGCACACCAATCCACACCTTATAACTCCTGTGACTGGGCTACTGGCAGCACAGGTTCTCTAGTTTTCAGTGTTTCAGAAATGCACTGAACCCAATGGGAGAGGCCACAGCAATGATCCTAGTTCAATGGTTAAGTATCTCATCAGTTAAGTATCTATCTCTATTTCTCTGTTAATATGTGCTCTATTTCTTAATTGCTTTCCTAAGCTACTCTGTATTGCTTCCATGATGAACCAAATACAGCTTCCTTTGAGATCTACCTCCAAGTGCAGCCGATTGCAGGAGTGCAGCCTGAGGATGATAAAAGCATGAATTGACATGGATAGGTCTGCACCTGGAGGAAATGAGCTGAGTCTGCTGACTTGCTGAAAATGTCAGAAATGCTCACCTCCAAATGTTCCTCTATGGATGTTTCACAGTAGCAATAAATAGAGCAGGACTCCTAGACTGCACGTGACTTTGACTCACTAGAGGGCACATTCCTCCATATTTTGTAAGAACGCATAGTTTTGTTTATTGTATACTATACCACTCTTTGGCACTGCATGCATTTAATGGCACTAGTGTTTCTAAAAGGCAGATGGATTACTCTGACTACATTCTGTTGCAGGGGGCAATGTGAATAGCTGCCAAACCTCCAGAGAATATATATTTCAAGTGGGCCCAATGTGTATGATTGACATTAGACATAATTAGTTATTCTCTCACCACTTGCCTGGGTAATCCATAGCTCTTCTGGCACCTTCCCCAAGACAGACTAGCATTGGGATATTTATAAAAAAACAGCATATAAATTGTGCACATGAAATTGTATCCACAGCACAATTTATGTGGCTAATGTGATCATCCTGCATTATCCACTAAAGAACATACATCTAAACAAACATCCAAGTGGGTTTATCTGCATATGTACTGAAAATGTTTCTTTTTCAATCGTGTTGGGGTCACAAATCCCAATGTCTGAGTTACCATGCAGAAATCAGCATTGTACACAGAAATGAGACTGAGTTCCAGAGGCAGATACAAGTATCACATCAGCATGATTTCAGTATTCCATAGCAGTTTTCTGTTGTAAACATAATGCTGTTACCTTAAAACCGCACTTCATAAATGAATAAAAACCCACTATGTATCATCTGAAGCAGAAATTCTGAATCCAGATTTTCTATCTTCATAATGGACTGAGACAATGCTTCAATTCTGAACACTATGAAACAAAAGGTATTAAACACTGGATCCAAACTTAAACTTTTCCAGACATCAGGATTCTTTGTTAAGATTTGGTCCAGTCTAGCCACAGATTAGAATAGTGAACTTGGATCCAAACATAAATCTGAAGCCAGATCTAAGGTTTTGGTTCAAGTCCTGCTCATGGAGCATCCACACTAACGTTATTTCAGATTTACAAGTTCAGAATTAGCATTATTCCTTAGTAAGTGGAACTTGAGGGTAAGGCGTGCTTTTGGACTAAGGTCCTAGTGTAGACCAGTGTCAGCCGACGGTCAGGGCAGTGTGTGTGTGTGTGTATGCTTCTGAGAAAAGGTTTAACGTCCGTGTCTTTACTGCTAGGACCGGGGTCCCGTCGCAGAGGGTGGCCAGCAGGCCAACAGACGCCCTGTTATATAGGAAGAGCTTATTACACCTTAGATTTTAACTGCTAGAACACAAAGTTCCTTCGCAGCGGGCAGCCTGGGAAAGGCTGGAAAGGTGCCCCAACGGATCTTGTCACCTGGGAGTGACACAGATCCAAACGCCCAAGCTCTCCCTATGTCTGTCCCTTTATGACCGGCTGAAGTTCTTTTAAATTGTGCTTGGTTCTGTTACAGCAACTGAAGGAGTCAGGTTAAAGCTTAAACAGTTAGAGGTTTATTAAAAGACTTATAAAAGCATATGGTTACAATGGCTATTGCTCTATTTTTTAAATGCTAACAAATACAGATTTTAAAAATGGTTACAAAGAAAATAAAGATAGAAAATAGAAATAATGGTACCAAGTGACAGCTTAATCTTTAAAGAGCTCTAAGTCTATGTATATATATACTTAAGCAGGGGACCACATCCAGGTACAATTTTTACCCCTTTCTGTGCCTCTCGACTCCAGCGTGTCAGGCCAGGGCCGGTCTCTCAATTCCTAGGAAAGACGAATACGAGGTGGGCGTCCCCTCTGGAACCTCGGGAGATCAAACACCTAACCCGACCAGCAGATAGATGGTAGATTGACACTCAGAGAAAATGCGCTGCTGGACCTATCTTTATACCCCTGGGGGCCCGTATTCTCTTTCTTATCTAAGATGCCGAATTGTACTGGTCCGTTTTGTGGTGCCAGTTCTTACATGCAAGTTTCAAGTTAATTTACACTTGCAAGAGAGAGAACTAAATTGTGAGCACTAGACATTTTTTACTGGGCGAGAGATTCCTCCCCCCACGGATGGATGTGTGTTCGTATCAATATGGGTTTGAGTCAAGGGCACTCCTTGGCAGCCTCTTGGTCAGCAATTAGCGTATCTCTGTTTACAGCCATTCACGGTCACACAGCCTGGGCCTTCTGCTCTGTGTGCCCTGTATGCTCCAGGCAAGCAAAAATGGATGTTACAAGGGAGGGTTCCTGTCTGGCTACAACAAGTTATCAATTATGCTAGGCACTCTACATATACAGAACAAAATATAGGGATGTTTTCTTACTTTGGGGATTAAACACAGTTGTTTACCAGTGCATAGCTACAAGACTTCTGTACATGAAGTAAAGAAAAACACTGTCTCCAACAGAAATTGCACAGGGAATTTAGGGTGGCAGAATATTATTGCGTCATAAATGCCATTGCTTTTATGAAAAGCTCCATGGAATCTTTACTGGTCACAAATCATCAGTATTTCTGCATTATATATAATTATATAAACAGAAGTCCATATTTCCAGTTGTACAATACATCCTAATGCTTTGCTGGAGTATTGGTTCCTACTGTCTCATTCGGAAGAGTATTATCTACTTAACCAATAACACCACCATACAGCTGTGACTAATTAGAGTTATGAGAGGTTTTTTCAGAAGACAAGATTAAAAATAATACAAACAAGCAAATAAAAAAGAGCAAATGTATGTGGTACATGCTTTTATTTTCAAAGATATAAGAGCTGTTTCTTGTTGCATACAAAAGGAAAAAAGAGATTTCATATTTAAATGCATTGTAGAAAAATATTTAATTTCCAGTATATTTTCCTTAATTTCTTGCGTCTTTCATGTTTTTTTCTGTTGATACTCACATCTTGGCTAATAAGGGTAATTCCATAAAAAAACAAAATACCCTTCCTCCATCCAAGAGCTTGATACTATGTTTTATTTTCCTGTCCAAAAATCTTTTGGAAAAAAATAACATCCAAGGGAGTTTTACATAAGTAAGACATTCAGGATTGGGCTTTGAATGCATTTTTCCAAGTTCATTTGTGCTAGGCTATTACATTTCGTTCTTTGGGGCTCGGTTGATTTTTAAATGGATTTAGACATATGCTTAAGTACTTTCCTGAATAAGATCTGTTCCTGAATCAGGGCCATTATGAGGACCTGTTCATGGGCCTTATATATCCCCATATTTGTTAAAGGGAATCATATAAAACCAAATCAGTTTAGATGATGGAATCACTTTTACCTGTCTGAAAAAGAGGTTTAATAATATCACTTTTGTGGGAGTGTTGTGTAAATTTCTTTTTTATGGAGCTCATGGAGAGACAAAATCAAAGGCTCATTATATTGATCATGCTCTCCCCTTTTTTATTAAAATTACTGTACACAGAGAAGTAAGCACAAGCAGAGAATACATACAAATTCAGCTCATTATTAGTCTAAAGGCTGAAACAGTCACATGAAATATTAATCAGGTAATTTCACTAACAATTTGTAGACTGCAAAAAGGGTGAGATTTTGAATGAATTATTTGCTGACTGTGAGTGACATAGGTCACTCAGCTCTAACATAATAGGCATAATACTCAAGTCTATTCCTAAATCAACAGCAGACCATTTAGTAGTCTAGCCCTTTTTATTTCAGTTAAATGAAGTGCAATAGTTAATTTACTAGCTCCCTGCATTCAAGCTTACAGTATCACCTTGCTGGACAAGAATATTTCACTTGTTTTGGATGATTGTTTGCTTCCATCTGGATCTCCATATTATACGGAATCTATATATGGGCAGAGTTAGGATCTCATCTTGAGACCACTGACTGGAAATTATCCCACAACAATTTAGTTGTTATATGTGATTTTAATGCCCAACCCTAAATTGAAAGCAAGGGGCCCAACAGGAAGGGCAGGTGTTGTAGGCATTGGCAATCCAGCATGGTGCAGGGAGTGATCAACTTCATTTGGGAGAATGGTGGTTCCCCTGTCAAACTTGGGCTATGATGTGGTTTTGGGCTGCTATACGAAAGGTCATTAGAAGATGTCTGGGAACCTGACTGGGTTTTGGGAGGAGGAAGCCAAGCTTGTGGTTTCTGTGGTAGGTGTCCAGTGCAGGTACTCCAGAGGAAAGATATCTGGTGTCCAGATAAATGGCCTGGTAAAAGATGTAAAAAGGAGGTGTTTGGTTAAAGGATCAGAATGGTGTGAGCTTTGGGGTTCCTATGATTATAACATCTGGAAGCCAACCCTCCCCTCTTTCTTATAGCCCACCTTACCCATTCCTTCAAGGGGGTAGTTGATGGTAAGGTCCTGCCATTGGATTTTCTGAAGGGGCCTGGATGGAAAGAGAGAAGAATTGGTAAAAGCCCCCTGGTATGTAAAGGTACTTACAATAAATGTGCTGGATAGAAAATGAGGGGTTGCTGGTAAAGCCCCCTAGGTAACTACAGAATAAACAGGGGGTTACCTGCACTTTATACTGTTATCTGTCAGGTAGTCCTAGGCATTTAATAATAAACCTGGAATTGCTAACTTTATCAAATAGTGCATTTAATGAGGGTTGTTTTCTCTTGCCCCATGAAATTCTAAAGATGAAGTAATAAAGTCCAGGTGTTAGATTTTTTTGGTGATTGTGGACAAATTTAGGCTCGGACATCTAAATGGTAGGGGCAGTCATGACATCTATACCCATCCTAGAAGGGGGAGAATGATTGACTGTATTGTAGTAATTATGTTAAGTTGTTTTTCTAAATTTTCTGTGACTGTTAAATCTGATAGTGACCATCAACCCTTCCAGGTTGATGTTTTCCTCCAGGTGCCATTATAGCAGTTGATCACTGTTGAACCATATTTAACTGTTAATTATGAAGCTTTCTATGTCAGGAAATTAAGGGGAATTGGTTAAATCTAAAATTAAAGAGAATCATCCTTTGAAAGAGTTTAAAAAATGAGATTTTAGATCTTTATAAAAATGGGAATAGCAAAGACACAGAGAATTACCACCCAAGTTGTTGGATGTTGCTTTAAAATTTTACCTTCAATATTTTCTTGGAAGATTAGAAGGTTGAGCAGAAAAAAAGGTAATTTATTTGCAGATAAGCAGGATGGTTTCTGAAATGTCTGTTCCACTTTAGGTAATTGTTTTAGTCTCTCTTATCTGATCCAAAAATATATGCCTCCAAAGGGGGGACAACTTTATGCAGCTTTTGTTGACCTAAAATCATTCTTTGATTCTATTGATAAGGTCTGTCCATGGGGCAAATTGGAGATTGCTGTAATAGATCTTTAGATATTTTTTAAGAACTCTTCACAGACAAACAATAGCTAAAGTCTGGATAAGCCTGGATGGGGAATTAACTGATTCCATCCCAATTACAAAAGGGATCCACCAGAGCTGTCTTTTAGCCCCTTTTCTTTTTAACTTTTAATATTAATAAGGGATCAGTATTTTCCCCCTAAAATCATAAATCACCCTTTGTCTGTCTTGGTAATTGCAGATGACTTTATTCTATTAGCACAAACACCATTGGGATTGAAAAAAAAGTATTACATGTGTTTTGTTGATACTGTTCATGAGAGGGCATTTTGATAAATTATTAAAGAATTAGAGTAATTGTAGTTAGTCAAATGTTGAATAAATGAAGGATAAATGATCAATATATTTAACAAGTTAGCTCTTTCCCACTCCCTAAGAATTTGATTCCTCCAGAATTTTATGTGGGATAAGCATATTCAAGTAACAATTGAGAAACATCTAATTCAAAGCAAGTTCTGTTATATTTTACCTAGATTCATGGCTGCCACTTAATTGCACTAGTCTTTTTAGGAAAAAGCAAAATATGAGCTCAAATTCTATATGATACATAAATATGGGGATGGAATAATCCATGGGACATTTCTTAAGAAGATCTTTCCATATAATTCCCCAGATTCTGTTCCAGATAGGAGACAAAAAGGACTTTGTTAAAAATTGGAAGTCAAATGATACTCAGGAGAATAGAAAATGGCATAGTTCTGACAAGTAAAGTATAAAAATGTAATTAGATAGGCTACAAAAGTATTTGACGAGCAACTAGCAAATAACACAAAAGCCAACAGTATTTTTTAATGTACATCAGAAGCAAGAAGTCTGCTGAACAATCTACAAGGCTAGATGACTGAGGTGCTAAACAAAGCACTCAAGGAAGACACAACATTGTAATCATATACATTTTAATGGCATATGTCCTTTTTAATCTTTATAAGTATTTTAACATTTTATAAATTTACATTTAGTTGTAAGTTTCATTGTAATACTTTTGTTTCTTGCTCACTGGCCCAATGGTTTATTAGAAACTCTGAAAAATCTGATGCTTTCATACTGGATGGTCATCTGATAGAGCTCATTTTGGAAAACAGGTCTGAAACAGACATTTTCCGAGTGAAGTTGCAGACTTTGACAATATAAAAAAGAAAAAACTTTCCTTTGCCTGGCCATTGGACATGAAGAAATATGAAAGCAATGGGCTTGATTCTGAAAAATACTTAAGCAAATGCTTAACTTTAAGCATGTAAGTAATTGACTTACTTTTCATGCTTAAAATTAAATGGTTTTGATCAGCTAGGATCAGAGCACTATGGCTACATCTACACAGCTCTCTCTTGCACAAGAAAATATGCAAATGAGGCAAAGTGGTGAATATCACCAGGCCTCATTTGCATACTTAATGAGATGCCATTTTGCGTAAGGGCTTATGCGCAGAAAGGAGCCGTCTACACAGCTTCTTTTTGCGCCAAATCCCCCACTTGCGCAAGAGCCATTGTGCCACTTTTTTTCAGGTAAACCTCTCTTGTGCAATGGGGGGGGTTGCACAAAAAGGAGCTGTGTAGATGGCTTTTGCACAAAATGGTGGCTCATTAAATATACAAATGAGGGACAGCGATAATCACTGCTTTGCCTCATTTGCATATTTTCTTGCACAAGAGAGTGCAGTATAGATGTAGCTTTAAAGTATTAGAACCTCAAAAAGGGAAGCAGAATCAAGACATAAATATTTCACTCTCAGGCACATAAAACGTAGCTGAATTTACACTACTTAGACATTAAAAAATAAAAAATAAAAGATTTGACACAACCGCTGAAGCACAGATTAAGTATACCTCTTAGTTATGCGAGACAGTATTCCAAGGATGCACATTCCTCCATGTACTTAATTTACTAATTTAATAAGAACAAATGATGACCTTATACAAATTACATATGATTTCTGAAAAACAAAGGATGGTTTGTAATGGAAAAACACACTATTTTAAAACATGGACATAGACAAACTGTTAAAATTATTTATGGCCTTGGATTCTACAGTTCTGGGTCTCTACTGTTCATAAAAAGTGTTGTCTTTGAAGGGGTTCAGATATTTTAAAACCCTGCTACAACATGAATCAATCAAGGTTCAGATTTTGGGTAAAGGCCAATATTCCTCATTCCATACCATATAGATGCAGGATGTTAGCACTTGTGTACCTCATCTCAGGCTGGAGTCCTTACTCCGTAAATCTACGTGAAAACACAAAACAAACAATTATGATAGTGAGCAGTCAGGAAAAGTTACATAGTTACAGTAGCATAATTTTTCTAGTGTATTTGGTACAATAACAACGCTATGGGAAATCTGTCATACAAAGTCATCTATCACTGTTGAACTGTGTATAGGGGAAAAGAATCAGATTGATCTGAGAAGATTCCAGGTTCTCAAGACAGCTTGCAAAGATGCACTGCTTGTTGGTGTGATCCTTATTGTAGCAATAACACTGTGCTACAAGCCTCTGTTTTATTTCAAAATTGCAAGCACTTGGATTATTTGAAAATATATTTGAAAATATATATCTTACCAAAAATGTGGGTTTTGCTCCAGTACTTGAGAATAGAGATGGAAAAATAAAGGTGCTTTTTGGAGACCAAGCTTTTCCATTTGATCTTTCAGTGTCTCATTCTATTTCGCTATTATCAAATAATGAATGTGCATAGCAGCAGCAGAATCTATTTTTCAGCAATGTTTTTATACAGGTCCATCATTGATATTTCCTATTCCACATACAAATTAAAGGTTATCTGGAGACATTTCTCTCTTTTTAAGAAGAAAGTGGTTAATAAAACTCATTTATGCAGAACCAGGCATTGCTGCTGGTAGTTTTCAGTATCTTCCCTTTTCTCCTCCTGCCATTACTTTCTTTTTTACTGAACAAAAATGCTCCACAATTGTTTAAATGTTTGAAACTTTTATTACTTATGTTATTTCTCACCCTGTTGGACTGAAACCAAAAACTGAATATAGGATTTATCATACAAATGGGCTCCATGCTCCAGGAATAAATGTATCCAGGTTTATACTTAATTTCTTTTCTTTCCTAACAATCAAAAGGCAGATGAGTTGTGAATGCTCACAGGAGCTTCTTGCAGCATTAAAGATGGAGAAACAGCCTAAAACTACTTACAAGATGTATTAATTACTGTTATTTATAAGCCAACTGTTCCAAACCCACTGACTAGAGATCTCGCAACAATAAAACAAATATTGTTAGGAAAAGGTTCCTTTTCTTTTTATTTTACTTCGGGTATGAATGAGATCCTGAGGCAAGCAAGCAGGCAGACACTAAAACATTTGCAATTCATCTATCACAGCTGTAGTTTCTGACCCTTGAAGGATAAAAGGCAAACAGGGAATTTCAAGGTCTTATAGCAAATTATTGGAATTATGCAACATGGGTAAACACGCCTAATGAACAATCTCTCTCTCTCTTGAGAACATAATATTCTCCAAGATTGCATTAGTTAACTTTACATAGATAAAACAATGGGTTAATTACACCATGAAAATAAAGGTGGGCAGCTGAACATAATGATGTAAGTTTTAGAAATGTAATTGAGTCAAATGGACTAAACATGTCAAAATTGGTACAAGGTTGTTAGCTATGTTGTGATCGGGAATAATTGATCTGCTGGTTTTTTAGACTGTTTCTTGGAATCTACTGGCCTCATCACTGAAACCAATATTTCAATAAGATCCTATTGAGCCTCCTGAAATTTCCACTAGGAAGAATGGAAAATCACTTGACAAATTGTTTTTCCAGAATAATAATTGATCACGAGGAGTGTGCACTATATCTGGCTCTAATTCAGACTTAATTACATTACATTTTTTACAAAATCATTGTCAAATGTGATAACCCATTAAGTCTCTTTGATTCTACTATTCAGATATCAAAATTCAAAGTCTAGGCTCCATTACCAAAGAATGCCTTCTGAATGATGAAAGACTAGACATTGTAGACAGTCCTCCAGATACCAGTTTGGGGACTATCTACCACATGAGTTACTACCTCTGATACTACCCTGAAGTTACCGAGTAACTTCTATTCTTTCTAGATTCCCTAAGGAGAAAAACCTTTTAACGAACATGTATTTCAATAATTTCTGCCCATTAGGAAAGTCAAAATTGTAAAATGAAGTTGGCTGAAATTTGAAGATTAAATATCACAAAAATGTCTACAGCAGAACTAAACCATGAATGTTCATAGATTTGTAGAATTTAAAACCAGAAGGAACCATTAGACTATCTATTGTCATGTTCTTCATATAACAGGTCAATTAATATTCACCCATATACCCCTCAACCTAGCCAAAGATTTATTTCAACTAATTCTTTTTAATTCTCAGAAGAATATATAACATGTACAATACCCAAGACCTCTGAAATGGCTGGGAATTGGTTAGGTGAGATATACCCAGATGATTCCAGAAAGCAATCCATGCCCCATGCTGCAGAGGAAAGTGAAAACATCCACGATGCCAGTCAATGTCACCGCAAATCTAGTGAGAAGTATGACACTGAACATGTGAACAAGACATATTAGCCAGGCATCAATGCTTTGCAACAATGTTAAACCATGCCTCATATCATTGACTGTTTCCAGTTCGTTATGTCATTAACTTTTACTTTTATTTCCATTAAGTTTGTTATTTTAATTTATTTATTAGAACTGGTTGAAAATTATATTTTTCATGAAATATTTCTGTGTGTTTTTTCATAAAAAAACCTTCTGATAAAATTGGGAACACCTTTACGCAAATGGAAGAAAAAGCCAAAATGTACTAATCTCATTTTATATTCAAGTTTTCAGACCAAATTATTCCTATGGGTGCACAAGCAGCTCCCACTGATGTTAATTCTACTTAAATCTAAGAGCATAATTTATCCTGTATTTGCTGTCATAGAATTCACTCTACAAACAAAATTTGACTATATTGTAGCCTCGCTTTTCAAACCATCTATCCGATATGCATTCTCCATGTTGATCAGACGATAAAATGCCTTGATGATTTTCTTTTAAAATGTTCATTACAATAAATTCTCAGTAACAGGAATTTCTGATTGGTTCCTAAATCCCCTTAAAATACTTCTTTACTGAGAAAACTGATTGGCACAAGGGAAATGAAGAAGACTTTCATCTAAAGATCAGCTATTTAAATCAAGACCAAATCAGTAGCAATTAAACATTGCTCCCTTTTGTATATGTGCTTCATAGACAAAATTCAAAATTTTGCTTTGTTTGTACAAATTACTCAAGTAAAATACATATGCGTATAAAATTTCCCGAAAAGGACATGTTCCACTCCTCCTCAATAGCTAATTACAGGGCAATCCTTTGAGCTGGAGGCCTCCTTTATAGATAGGTTAATTATAATGTAATCACAATATAATATTTACCTATACAGCAAACATAATTCCAAACAATATATTTCAGATATTTCTCAAGTCTATTCATTTCATCTTACTTTTGCTTAGAAAACCAAAAGCCTAAACTAAGTTGACTATGTCCCTTTAAGAAAAACATCATCAGGTTTTACAGTATTTACAGACTCCAGAATCTCAGCTGCTATTATATTTTTGACTTGTAATCTGTTCTCAATTTGATTTAAGTTTGCCCTTGAGTCCTGTGTGTTCCTGAATAAATTGAGTAAACGGTGATTCATGACCCTTTGGGATGGCCTTGAGAGTAGCAATTTTACTGTCCATACCAGAAATGTTAACAACCAGATCTGTGTAAAGTTATTATTTTTCACAGTAATAACTCCTCATGGGGAATTGAGTACTTTATTAACAGCTACCTTGCTGTAAATTATCGGGTGTTATAATCTTTTAAATTCAGAATCTTTGTTGCAGTTTCTCCAATGGAGCAGAATTCTAGTAACATTTTTGCAGGGCAGTAGCCCCATACCAGAAATGTTAACAACCAGATCTGTGTAAAGTTATTATTTTTCACAGTAATAACTCCTCATGGGGAATTGAGTACTTTATTAACAGCTACCTTGCTGTAAATTATCGGGTGTTATAATCTTTTAAATTCAGAATCTTTGTTGCAGTTTCTCCAATGGAGCAGAATTCTAGTAACATTTTTGCAGGGCAGTAGCCTGAGGGGGGGGGGGGCAAGGACTATTGTTTGATTCCTTTTTTTCTATGCTAGGTGGCTGGAGCCATGTCATTGCCAGGTATTAGAGAAGCAAGATAGGTGAGACAATATCTTTTATTGGACTAACTTCTATTATTGAGAGCGACAAGTTTTTAAGCTTACACAGAGCTCTTCTTCAGGTCCGGGGCATGCATTTAGCTGTGACATTCTGAACACAAGGTGAAAAGTTAGTTTAGCGTAAGTAGTTAACATGTATTTCAAGGGATCCTTCTAGTGGCCCATTAACACCCTTCCAGTCATAGAGGGAAAAGGAAGAACCGTGAAGGCAGATAATGATGTGCTGTTATTTGGTCAGACTGTTGTAATAAACTGCAAATACAGTATCTCTTTTTAGTCCATGAGTTTTATTTCTCTGGGAAGACAACCACATTAGCATAAACTTCCTGGACACTACCATCAGCTTCAGCAATGAATCTACAGACAATCTACCTTGGTAGAACCTGTAATTACCCCAGAAACACCAAGAAATCTATTATCTACAGCAAGGCACTCAGATGCCACAGAGTATGTGCCACGAGGAAAACCTGGAACATACGCCTTAACGCATTCAAAACCACCTTCACAAACAAGGACACTGTGCCAGAGAAGATGATCATATCATAGTACAGGCCACCCAAACACATCGCGAGAACCTGCTTCAGTATAGAAATAAAGCCTCCTCCAACTGCACAACCCTCGATGTTACCTGCCATTGCATGTTGTAAATAAGTGTAACCCTTATCAAATGGGGATCCTACCCAGAAATACATTTTTTTCTGAACTTCCTCTTCTGGCCTTCAATCTACCTGCTAGCCTCTCTTAGTCCATTATCAGAAACAAGCTCCCATAGATCAGGACAAACCAACTCAAAAGATACCAGACTCTGCCAGAACAACAAAGACAAACCTGCAGACATATTTCAACTGCTACAGTAATCAATAACCCCACAACATACCTATGCGTGCCTACCACATGTGATGTACCTCATCCAGAGAGTCCTGCATGGATACAAATTGCTATCAAGGATCAAGGTATCTGGGGATAGAAA